AGTAAAGCTATTCTAAGAGGCCTACTCAAGAAGGGCTGAAGGCTTATCCATTTAAAATTTACGCGAATGCTTAAATTTATATTATTTAGCATTACAAATGAATTTTAATAAACATTTTAAGTTGGAATAGCACATATTTGATATAAACCGTAAGCGTATACTTCAAAGATGTATGATTTTTATAAATTGAAGAACCAACTTTAAAAGAACTCCTCCAAAAGGCCTTCTGAAGTACGTACTATAAAAGCACTTCTGGAAGGCCTTCAATTTGTGCCACTCCGTACAAAAACGAAGAGAGAAAGGAATGTAGAGTGGAAGGCCTCTTGATTCTTCTGGGATGCAGTGCTACCAAGGTGATATCCATAAATCGCTACAAGAAACTATATTTTATAATCTCACATTTAGCACATAAATAATCTATGCTCATATAAAACATAGTACCAGGTTGATCAACCTTTGCTCGGAGTGCATGCAATTTTTTTAGTATTTCAAGGTTTGGGTGTCAAATAATGGTCATATGGATAGCTTAATTTTTAGATATTTGCTAGGTTTTTAAAGTTAAGATTATTCTGCTTTATCCTCAGTTTCGCCTGAAAAAAAAATTCACCCAAAAATTTGTCATCCACCCATAATAAAACCATGGAAACCAAAAGTGAAAAGTGAACCGGTTCGGGAAAAATGGAACTCATGATAAGGCTGATTATTATATTTTTTCATCAAAATATGGTTCATGCCTTAACCAAAACCATATCAATCTAACGTTCAAACTTAAAAAAAAAAAAAAAATTTAACAAATTTTATTTAAAATTTCAATTTTTAAACTGATTTTTTAGTTTTTTTTTGAGTATGCAGTTTGATAGCCCATGGTATAATAAAGTCCAAGTTTTAAGGCTGCAATCAACGCGATTGGTTTTTAATATTTTTTTTTCTGACGACTTTTTGTACTTTTTTCTATACAAACATGAATTTCTTATAGAAGAAAATGCGTAAGACCGTTTGCAAAGAAAATTAAACAAAAGCAACGTTTGTTTTTATAAATTGCATTTGTTATATGAAAAAACCCGCAAAAGCCGTCAGCAAAAAAATATTAAAAATCATCGTGCACTTTGTTATACTAAAATGTAATAGGCTATCAAACTGCATACTTAAAAAATCTAAAAAAAAAATCAGGGCTCGAGTCGTAACATCCGTTCATGGATCGAAAACCATACGAAAGAAAATTACGTGATATATCAGTCGTATGAGCTGAATGGGATAAAGGGTACGTTCACGTGTGTCATAATCCGAAGAATGCGTTTTTACGTGACGAGTTATACGATATCGTATGTGATGATATTGATGTTGTTCACGCTTATCAGGTTATGTGGTTATGTGATATTATTTTTTGTCCAGTTTACACAATAAAATACACTACAAAATAATAATTTTTAACCAGATTTTAGTCTAATAAGTATCTCAGTATTCAGTGAAAGAATATAAAAAAAAAATACTTTGAAAATACCTTGTTGATAACTAAAATTATTGTAAATATTGCCTACTGAGTTCGTCGGAATTCCATAAAAAGAATATTTTGGAAGAATAAGCCCAGCAAAACCTTTATTTTTGGTAAGCACTTTCTTTTTGTACACCTCAAGACAAAATTTTTCACTTTCTCGTGGTGAGTTTCGAAAAGTGCTTACCAGGGCACGGACTTTCTAAAAATTAATATTGGTAGATTCTGGATAAAAAAATGGTAGAAGTTGGTAAATTTTTAAAAAATAAACAATGTTTTAGTTTTTACTCATCTGGGATAAATCAGGGTGAATTCATATAAGGGGGTGCTATCGGAGCAGCCGGTTGTTCTTTGTGTCAAAATGGTGTAGTTGTTGCAATTCTTATTGTAATTATGCGCAATTGGTGTAATTTTTGTTTCTGTACTCCTGCTATAACTCTGCAATAATTGTATTTTTTAATAAAAGAACAAAAAATGTATTTCACGCCAATAAAACATTCAACAAAAAAACTTATACATAATACTCGGCCCGAATCACGGCATCCGTGATCGAATATAAATCGATACGAATCTAATGAAATAAAATGACAGCTATTTTCTCTCAAATTCCGTAATCTCATTGAGATTATTTCAAAAAGATTTTCGCTTCGAGTTGGATTCCATCCATGATGCCGTAATTAATTTAAAAACAATTATCTCTACTTAAACATTTTTTTACTAAAATTTGATTTGAAATGCTTGAAGTTTGCAAACCATATGTTTGGCAGTCTATCACAAAAACGTATCGCAAACGAAAAATATTTAGATAATCAGCCGATAGAGATACAATTTAATTTTTAAATTGGTTATGGTCAGAGTTAACTTTTTATTATTATTTTCGGTGTGTTCGATGACAAAATATGCATACACTTCATTCATTTAATCCCCCTTAAAAACTAATTTTTGTAGCATATTTTTTTAGACGCAGTAGAAATCACAATAGTGGGGCGCGTAGTTTTGCGACATTGTTAGAATAGGGGGGGGGGGAATGTCTTTGCTTTCTTTCCGGAAAATATTGGTAGAATTTTAGCCTTTGTTGGTAAAATAAATTACAGCTAAAAAGTTGGTAGATCTACCAATAAATATGTAAAGTCCGTACACTGGTGCTTACCAATCGCGATTCACCTTATACCCTCTATGTTACAGAACACATTACTTTAACCTGGACATGTCATTAGAGGTAAGTGGGGAAATTAAAAAAAAAAAATGCTTTCCCACTGCATTATCTGTAATGCAGTTGGTAAACGAGAAAGTGAAAAATTTTGTCTTGAGGCGTTTTGTAACGCGTTACTCCATCGAGACACAAAGTAGCTGCTTTCCAAAAAAACAAAAACGTTTATGCTGGGAGGTTAAATAAATTGGTTAGTACATATGTATTTTTTATTGTTTCTTCTGTATTCTTCTTTTAATCAAACTATGTTAAAATAAAAGTGAAAAAAAGTATACATATTTTGTCAGAACCCCGCCACCCTCAACAAAAAAAAACTGGCTACGGCCCTGGTATTTATCAAACTTGTTCTTGGTTTGGTTGTTGGCTTTTCCCACAAAAATGATGCTTGATGGCCTTCGAAATGAATTTGTTTTCCATTTTCCCAAAATTTATGCAGTTATTGCTTCCGAGACTGCTGACGAGGAACAAAACATTTTAAAATTCGAATTATAAAATAATACTCTCTTATCTTTGTCGCTGCGGTAGCTGTATTAGATAACGCTTTTGCCCAAGTACTTTATAAGAGGCTTTCTTAGCGGGCAGAACTTTATCACGAATTTCTCTAAATTCATATAATTTTAACTCGTTTGGAATGACAAAATGAATTAACACAATTCTCTATATGAAATTAAATAATAATAATAATAGATTGGCGCTTACACATACTACGTTAGTGTTTGGCCGAACTTCTCCTCCGATTTGTGGCGTGCGCCTTGATGTTGTCACACAAAGCGGAGGGACCTACACTTTTATGTCGACTCCGAACACCGATTGTATATTTATGAGAAGCTGTTTTTCATGGTAGAAGTACATTCGGAGGCCATTGCATGCCGAGGGGCGCCCGCTATTAGAAAAAAACTTTTGTTTTTTATTTTTTGATGTTGGGTTGAGCCGGGCTTGAACCCAGGGCCCGAGTAGTGGAAGCGCTCGCAGTTAACCACTACACTACAGCGGCCGCATATGATTTAATTTTATACATATAAAAGCTTGTATGTACATTAGGGCGGTCTATAATGTATGTGAAAAAGTAAGGTCGGAATTTTTATGCTCTCACCTAGGATTGTTCTATACCGAAAAAATATACCCATATTTTATATTTTGAATTCAAAAAATATTTAGAGGTCGCTCAAAGCGCTCAAAGTGTTACATGTATTTTATATGGGGAAAAACCACTTTTCGTAGAAATGGTATATAATTTTTGAAAATCAATATTTTTCGATCGGAAAAATCTGTTTCTCTTCAGGAGATTTCCAATAATAGTACCCAATTGTTTTTTTTTAACCATGTTTTCTTAGTAACCATATTTTATAGGTCCGCCAAAACCCTCGGAAAGTGCCAGAAAATGCAATGGGAGATAAATAAAAAATCTTTAGTATTAAAAAATGGTTATATAAATAATTGGATATTCTTATCGGAGGTCTCCTGAAGAGAACCACGGTTTTACGGTCGAAAAATTTTCACTTTCAAAAATTCCATACCATCTTTACGAAAAGTTGTTTTGTTTTTTTGCCATATAAAATACATGGAAAACTTTGAGCGCTTTGAGTTGCCTCTTAATATTTTTTGATCTTAAATAATAATATAGGGGTATATTTTTTGATACAGAACAATCCAGGAGTTTTAAAATTCCAACTTTACTT